ATAGCTGATATACAGCTATTAACGTTTCTGCTACTTCTTTGTTGGCTTGTTATGAATCTTATGATCTTTGTGATGTGAACTTTTCTTTTTGGACAAATTGCTTTATAATCTACAATATACTCTGTGTATGTGGTCTGAGACCGTTTGATGGGCCTTCCCTGTCTTTCGTTTTTGAATTTTTCAAGCTTATGTCTTTTGTGTTTTCTTATTGGGTGTGGGGAGGGATGTTTGTTTGTCAACCATTAGCCTGGGCTTCTTGTCCTCTGACTTAGTTATCTGCATGCTTTTCCTACTGTTTCAGTAATCTTGATTGCCATGTTTAAATTGCAGGTGTCTGGTTTGAAATCGATCACTTCCAAACATTTAGCTTTGGCAAGTCAAGTCATCAGTTTTACATATGCTATTATTCCAGGTGCGTGAGTTCAATAATTTGTTCCCAACGAACTTGTTATGAAACATAAATTGAGCAAAGAACTATAAGTGTAAGAAAATTATTTATTTATTTATTTTATTAAGTCGGGTGATAAAAGAATAGATAAAGATGGCATACATATTCTTCTGGATGATATTAATGTACATTATTATTAGAAAATGGTGACACAGGATATTAGAAAATGTACATCTTGTTTGGCCATTAATGTGGTTTTATGTTACTTGTGGCCGAGATGATTTAATTTTAGTTATCTACTTTCTCGTTCTTGTCAAAAGATAAAAATGGGTAGATGAAAAATATTTAGTGCTTCATGCATGAGAAATTGTTTGTTACATATTGTTGAGTTGCTAGTAGCAAAACGTAATCTATTTCGTGTAATGCCTATGATTGAGCATCAAGCATATTACTCATCTTGACCGGAAATGTTTTGGAAATCATTGTTAGCCAGAAAAACTCTAATGCTATGTTACTTTCTGTGTTTCAAGATATCAAGCAGGTTCTTTTTCTCAATGTACCAGAGACCAGAAAGCCAATGTTAAAGTCGGAGATCGATCGGGTGGCACAGGTATGGATTTTAATATGCTGTTACCCCCTTTTGTTTTTCTTTGTTATCTATTTCCATTCATACTCTATACAGTTTCGTTGCCTTTGATATGGTTCTCTCTCTCTATGGAGCTTCCAGCATACGCAACCTTGTCTATACCAATGAGAATTAAACAAGCCATTGGATTCGTCTACTCCTCTGTAATCCATGGTTGTCTATTAGAAACTCCTGCTTTGTTGAAACTGGACAGCCTTTTTTTAGTCGTGCTAGACATTTTCTCTATACTTTTTAATTTCCTACAAGCCAACTTATTTCTCAGTCTAAATATGATTTTATGTGACATCATGCTTTATTTGGTGTCTGCCAATTGCATTCGTCAAGTACAAGGTTTCATTTCCTTATAGAAGTGTTTAAATATTGGTCTGTTTTTAATCCTTGATTCTTTATATGTGTATATGTTTAATTCAGAACATGTCTTAGAATGCTATATTATTTTCAAGGACTGGTCAGTGTAGGAGAACGAAAGGGAAAATTTATTTCTCCACTGTACTTGTCAAGTATGCAGTCTCCCTTTAATAGAAATACAATTGTGCATTTCAGTGGATATGTTTGCTCTGGAGTTGAATTATATCTGCGAAGACCACTGAAACTCTATGCAGATCTTTCTTGACAGCCATGTCTAAGAAGGCTGAGGAGATCTAAAATTGTCATAGCAAGAAGGCAACATAAAGAATGAAGACTTTACTACTTGTCTGTGTGCTATATCTGGAATTTGTAATGCATATGTTTAGCAATTTATGGCCTTAAAATAAAATTTCTAGGAGTAAACTTGAAACCACAATAAGCAAAGGCACACACTCTTGTCCCTGCGAATTCTTGGGGGCCTGGACCTGCTGTTTTCCCTATTCTCTCCCTACCCCTCCCCCCCCCCCCCCCAACCCCCAAATAAATAAATCTGCGTTTCTGAAGCTTGTAGCTTCTTCTGAAAATGACCTTGTTATTTGGTTTTTGGCTTTTAACGTAGTCATATATCTCTCTCTCTCTCTCCTTTGTAGGATTATAAGGTCCATCGGGATGAGATACATACAAAGCTGGTTCAGATCATGAGGGAGAGGTTGTTAGTTCATTTACGAGGATTACCTCATATTGTTGAGAGTTGGAATAAACCTGATGATGGTGACACGCAGCCTAGTCAGTTTGCAAAATCATTAACAAAGGTAATAGATATCACCTTTTCTTTATGTTTCTTTTCCTTGGCAAATTAATCTCCTTTTTTTTCTCCCTCCTATAGTCCTGTTTACATTCCTGATTCCTCCTACTATAAATGTTTCAATCTATTTTGATTCTGTTTTAGATCTGTGTATGACAGTACACAGTAGCTAGTATTGCTTAAGCTTATTGAATGTGGCTGCTGTTCTCTAAACTTCATTGAGGACATGCCTGCATTTTGAGGCTCAAGGTGTGAAATAACTAAATGAAGCATTGATGGCCATTTATTTCAGAGCTACATGATTGAAATAAAAAAAAATGTTCAAAATTTATTATGAGCCCCTTGATCATCCTTGTAATGTGAAATTTTGAAAGTCATAGTGTTTGTCTGCAAAGCCTGGGCTTTGTGAGTCTATTTGTTGTGAAAATTTCGTCTTTAGTATTTACAAATGTGAACAATTTTTTTACATAACATTGTAGGAGGTAGGCTATCTTCAACGTGTCTTGTCTCGAATGCTTCATGAGGCGGATGTTCAAGCGATTTTCAGGTGATTTTGAATTATGTTGATCAATTGTTTGTAGTTTCTGTCATCTCACATGTTTATATGCATTTTTGTGCTTCTCTTCTTTCCCAAAATTTTAAATTTATCCAGATGTATGCCTAGCTAAGATGTGAGAATAACACACCCCCCAATCTAATTTGTTAAAGCAGAGATTTCCATAGATAGTAATAATTAATGATAAAAATGCCTCAACATACATATATATGTCAGATAGCTTGATCAAATACATAGTAAAGAGGTGTATAAATGGTGATCTGGGGGGTAGGTTGAATTTAAAAAAAAATGAATTCGATACTGCATTTATTTATGTATAAAGGTTTGTATTCTGAAATCCACCTCTTTAACCTCCCGAAAAAATTTGTTAAAGCCCTTGAGTTATGGAATAGCCAGGGAGTAGTGTTGTCAATCCACTTCATATTATACTGTTTTAAAAAAAAGAAAAAGAAAAAAGAAATCTACTTCATATTATACTATCCATCCTATTATGTATGTTTGTGTTAGTTTTTGTCGTACTTGCCTATTGTGTTGGCCAATCTGTTCAGCTTCTTAATCTGCATTTGTGTGGCTGCATCTTTTTCCTTTTTTTCCATCATATAGTTTCAAATTTTGAATTTCAATCTTAATTTCTGACATTTGTTATCAATAAGTATTGAAAAGTTAAATTATTTTATTGAAATAACCTTATGTTTCTTTTGTGAATCCCATCTGCAGGCAAGTGGTCATAATATTTCATTCACAAATTTCCGAAGCATTTTCCCGCTTGGAGATCAGCACTCCACAAGCAAAATCGAGGTACTGTTGTGTGTTACATTGTAGCACTATGCCTGTAACCTTGATTTATAAACTTTTTTCTAAAATATGTAATGGTGTTGCAGACTTTATCGGGACGTTCAACATATTCTAGGGTGTATACGCTCACTTCCTACTGATATTGCTAGCAAGTCAGGTGTTGCAAATTGGGGGCACCTTGATGAATTCTTGGCCCAAAGATTTGATAGTGAAGGTGATCAGTAGACTTGCTTTTGTATGTTTTTTCTCTTCTCCGCCGAAGGCATTATTGCAGATAGAAAAATCCACTGTTCAGCTATGCTGTCATCCTCTGCTTCTGAATCTAGCTGTAGAAAGGTCAGTCCCATTTTTTTTTCACTTTTCATGTACGTTATTAATTTTTGGAACACCTTGCTATATATATCATATTGTTGCACAATGGGGTTTTCCCAACTCTAGTTTTTTCTTGTGCCAATCAAGGCATAAAACTAGATTTTGTGGCTTAGTAGTAAGTAGTAGATTTAGTACCATTTTGCTTATTTTTTTTTTATTTTTTTTTTTAAATTTGTGCAGGTATATGAGGTACAATTCTTTGGATTCTTATTTTTCACGGAGATTTCACAACCAGGATTTTTTTGTATACTAAATACAACAAACCTAATGGGTAGCATCCTTAAGACTTTGTTCCCCTGAAACAAATTTTCCGATTTTCCCCTAATTTAATTTAGTAGACGCAGGGAACAAAGAATAGTGTAACAGTTTTGTGTCTCCACTCCCCATCCTCTTTCTTTTTGTTGTCTTTATAGGTTTTGGTTGCTGTTTTTTCGGTAACCATGTTCATATGAGGTTATTGTATGAGTATCAACAGCATTGCATATATGTTTCACAATTCTAAAGAGAATGAAAATTGTTTTCTTGCTGTTTTTCTTCATGGAAGGGGCCAAATTGCGGTCAAGCTGATATGTAAAGATTTAGATCAGAAACATTGTCGCGCACAAATGTGATAAAATTTTCTGCAACTTATTTCAGTTTAAAGCTTAAACAAAGCTCCCATGGATGATTGTTTATTTCTCTAACATTGCATTTCTTGAGTTGAATACTTGTATTAATCTTTTTGTTCTCCATGCTTCTTTTAACAACGTAGTTTGGTCAAGACAACGGGAAGAATAAAGGATCCATCAGCTATAACTTCGAAAAACACCCATTTATCAATCTACATTAAACTTCAATTAGGAGGCAACTATGATAAAATTATAGTCCGTGAAAAGTCAAATAGGGATAAAAATAGAGACGGAAGTGTATTAGTAAAAACTACCATATATATACAGAGCTCTAAATTCGGTTAGATATGGACATGACCTGTGGTTTTTAATCCCAGTTTCTTAAAATTGTTTTTCAATGATTAAAATCAAATATAATCTTAGGTTATATTACCAGATGAAATAATATTTTCAAAGTCCAATTTAATAAAGTAGAATAAAAATAAACAATACTCCGTATAATTACCGGATTTAAATATTATTATACAAATAGATATGAATCTGACTTCTTATTTTTTTTTTGCCCCCAACCAATACAGATTTCTCAATAATGAACTCATACAGATAGCAAATGCCTGATTTAGACCAACTAAATCAACTCAAACTTTTTCTTTTTAAATATTTTTTCTTGTTTATTTTTGGGTAATTTATATAATTATACAACGCCAATGATTAAGCTGCATCTTCCTTCATCTCAGCTTCAATGGCTGCAGCTAGCTCATCATAGGCAACACTCCAAGCACATTTTAATTCTTCACTCCATTTGTCACCGGTTGCTTCTTCAATTGTTCTAAGTAATGCTTGTTTCACAACCTATTCATAATTAATCAACATAGCTCAATTAATAGTATGCCTAATCAATAACGAGTATTAAATAGTATATAATTCTCATGGTAGTATTAATCAATTATTAACCATAACAAAATTGTGTACCTCAAAATGGGGATCAGCCACTCCATTCTTCAAATGAATAGCTCCCAAATACTTAAGGGTAGTCTCTCCTACAACCACCTCGCCTTTTTCCCGAAGTTGAATTGCTGACTCACATGTCTATAGATGTATGTACGATATATAATTATGATAAGATATATTTTATCACTTTAAGAAAAAGTGAACATACTCTCAAGTGAAACAAGAAAGAATGCACTATCATTTTAAAACGGCGGGAGTAATAATTTTGTAGAAGGGATCTAGTGTCTAATTAGAATTGCCTTTAAAAAATGTGAGCAAGTTGACAACCTATATAAGTGGGCCACTGGGCCTTAAACCCCTTAATACAGTGGCTAGTACCTCCATTCATTCATTGAGGAAAAATTGCTGACTGTCAGTATTGTGTTTTGTCTGATACATTATAAATAAATCCAAGAGATGCATAGCCATTCATTTTGATAAATATCATTAATATGCCATTATATCATACTAATTTAATTTCCTAGAGTTTATCTTAGGTCATTATAAACAATTATATCTTCCAATTTTTTAGTGTACAAATATTTTGAAATTGATAATAAAATTTTCTAGTGTACATATATATGTAATATTCAAGATTCGATTAATTAACTAGTTTAGTCGATTTAAATATATGGATTCTTCTTTATTTTGCACACATACATAATTTTTCATAAAAACTTTAATCTAGTTTCTTTTCAAATGACAAAACTGAATGTATATGTAGAATAAACTTGACTTAATATATATTATTGATGGTTTTAACACAAATTAAACTTAAGATAATTTCATCATTACATATATTTGTATACAACTTACATTAACATAAATGATACACAAATACTTGCATTTGTTTAACAATTTACACAAGTAAGAACTTAAGAAGGTGATGATCAAGTTACATTAGTATAGCGTGACATTTAGCTATTTAATAAATTATATATTAAGATCTAAAAATTTAGTTGTTTAAGAAATAAAACTCACCATTTTAAAAACCTTAACAGCATGAGCTTTGAGCTTGGGATTGTTCTGTGGAATTTCTTCTGAATCCCTTAAAAATGAAAACATAGCTTTTGCTGCTGGTGCTATTTCCAATATTCTGTTATATTCCACAAAAATTAGGCCATTTTAATTAGAGAAGATAATAATATATTTTTATTATTTACAGTCAATAATTATTTATATAAACTCTATAAACATAAAAAAATATACCAATAAACTTACATGGTGAAGAAACGAAGACTGTATTCAGGGATATTTTGCTTCATGATATCCCATGATTCTTTGACCAATGCTTCATCCTTCTCTGTGAATGTCATCTTCTTTATTTTTTTCTTTCTTTCAAGTGTATAATAAATTGGTAAGCTGAAGTTTTTGGTTTGTAAACAAGTTGAAGCTAAGGAGGAAGCATAGTTGGCTAATTTATAGCTAGCATGGTTACATATAGCTAGATTTAAGAAAATAATATAATTATTTTTTTTAACACTTATCATTATTAAATTGCTCCATCTGTTTCTTTATCTTGTTTGGAATCTTTATAAACTACACTATATATTATAAGGTGTTCCTAAACAAAAAAAGGTGTTCCTAAACAAACCTAGATGTCACGTGGTGCCTTCCTCAATTAGTCGAGTGACTCGAGTCTTTTGTAAAATTGTACTTGTATAAGATTTGAACTAATAGTCTTAAGTTTAAAATCTAAAGTGTTAGCCACTAAACTATGACCATGTTACATGTCATTATGATATACCATGATTTTAATCATGAAATTAATGCAGTAATCCGGATATCCCCGGGCCTAAAAAATAGGTATTAATTTATATATTGTATGGAATGTGTGATTATGTGTGTGATGACTTCATCTAGATGAACACTTTGGGTCTTTGATTGATGTGACTTTTATTATTCCTTTTACCATAATTTATACTAGATATAAGCCCGTGTGATGCACGGTTCTAGTAAATCTTTTTAATTAATTTAAGATTTTTTTATATGAAGATCATTCATCGGATATTTGAATAAAATTCCTAATATCATAAGATAATTTTTTAAAAAAAAATTTAACACTAAAATTATCTTTCGTAGGTTTATTTATTTTACGTGACGCTTGAATTTAAAATTCCAAACCTTATTCTTTAATTTTGCTTAATAAAAAATAAATGACAAATCATTTTATTTATAGATTAAAATAAGTCCTTTGCAAATGCGTTTTTTTTTATACTCGTTCTGTTTCAAAATGTTAGTCTCATCTAAAATCTTTTAACTATTAAAAAAATTAGGGGGAATCTTCTAAATTTCTCTTTGTATATAAGGAAAAACATAGTGATATGAGACTTAGTTTTATTTGTTTCGATGAGTACATTTTTAATATCTAATTTTTATAATATGTGCTAGGGAGAGATTAAAGATATTTACAATCAAAGATTTACATCTATATGTGTAAAAAAGATAATTATTAGTTTTTTAAATAATTTAAATTTTAATTGTTCACTATTCGTTATTTTTTACCTAGATGGCAAAAATTTTAAATCTTATTCGTCACTTTTTCTTCGGTGGTGAGTGAATCTTTTAATTCTAAAATAAATTATTAATCTAAAATTTCATTGGTCAAAATAATACATTTTCTTATGTGGCGCGTCAAATGCTCCCAAAAAATGCCTACTTTATATATATATATATATATATATATATATATATATATATATATATATATATATTATATTTTTTTTATGTTCCTGTTTAAGCATTCAACGTTGAAACAAAAACTTATTTTTTTTTTTGAAATAAAATTGATTCATAAATAAAGTCATACGACATGTACAAAGAGATTTAGATCTAATGAATACATAATAATTGAATCAAATAAAAACATTCCATAAGCAAAACTACAATCGTTGTTGCAAATCGTACATTCTTCATACCCTCTTTCATATCGCTGTGATTTATAGCCTTCATTGGCGAGGGGGTCTATCGATCTGTTGTAGCCCTGCAGAAAATTTCCGTCTGATTCGCTAGGTTGTAATCGACATATTAACCTCTTTTTCGATCTCGCACAAAATTTTACCCATGAAACAACTCTATAGCAATCCATAAAATAAAAAAGCAAATCCTCCCTCAAAGGAGAGAAGAAAAACCCGGTCTTTCGAAGGAGCCAAATCTTCCTAAAGAAGAAGAAAAACCCTGTCTTTCGAGGGAGAAATATTTCTCCTAAAAGAGGAAGAATTATTATTATAAACCTAAAACAATAGAAAAAGCACACAAAAACAAACAATTGGGGCTTTCCACCGATAAAAATCGATGGAAGCCCCTGAACAAAAACTTATAATCAAGCCTTGTAATTAATTATAATAAAAGTTTTTGTTTCAAGGTTGAATGCTTAAAGAGGAACATAAAAAAAATATAAATTTGTTGTTACCTTAGCTACCACCTACCTAGAATTTGTATGCAACAAGGAGGTTGTATTAGAAATTTATTATGGGGAAATTTGCCAAAGTGGTTTTATTATAATCAACCCCATTAATTTCGTACTATTGATAAGAAAAGGGTTAAGTTGATAATAATTGCTCCTTTTGTGTGTTTCAATTAGTCACATTTTTCTTTTGTAGAATTTTCATGACACATGTCAAATTATAATATTTTCAATTATGTGATATATAGACAATTTTTCCTATAAACATTGATATTATGAAAGTTGCATATCAAGATTTGAAACAAATTAAACAAAATCTAACATAAATGTGTTTCTTGTTAAACATTTATCAAGAGCTTACTAGACTCCTTTACATTTAATTTTATAAAAATTTATTCGGAATTTACAAGAATAAACGGGAAGAGTATGATAATAAATAATTTAAATTTAATATGGTCCAATCATTGTTAAATTTTACTAGGGGGAGGGTGAACCGAAGTAGGGGTCATACAACTTTATATGATAAAGATATTTGATTTGGCTATTTGCATTCGTGTGGACAGCACAAGTAAAATTGACAAGGTCACAAGTGGATCTCCATCAACTTTGAAATGCTCAAAGAATCTTTCATTGAGATGCAACAATACACCAAAGTAACCCTTCATTGATGCAAGTAGACGTAATTATTTGGTTTTTTTTGACAAAAGCTTTATTTGTCTTATTGAGTCCATATGATATTTTACTTAACCATTAAAAGTGTCTATTATTGGTGAAATCAAGTAATTATAGTTTTAAAAAAGTGATTTTATATAAATATTAGATTTGTTGTATTATTAAGCTTGGCAGAGTTGTAGATTAGATTAGCCCACTAAATTATCTGGATTAAGCATCTTCTTTTGTAAAAGTGAAAAATGCGGCTTCAAAATAATATGATTGCATAAGAAAGATTATACTAGTAATATATATCAAAATTGATGGTCGTACAAATATTAAGGGCCTGTTCACATTTATTGAAATAAGGTGAGTTGAACTGATTGGAGCTAAATTGAACTGATTGGAACTGAACTGAAATGAATTGAATTGAATAGAGCTGAAATGAATATTTTATGAGAGAAGGAAATTAGGAGTTGAATCCAACTAAAATGATTGGAGCTAAGCTGAACTGAACTGAACTGATTGGAGTTGACAGAACTGAACTAAGCTGAAATGAACATGCCCTAAGTCCTATAATGTTTTTTGTTGCAAGATGGTCCTATGTTAGTCATGGAGCATATTACTTGGCTAACGAAAGTTTGCTTGTTTGATGTTTACTATACGAATAAAGAATGTAGTACATTTGACTTTAGTGTTCGCAACTTTTTTTTGAGGATTACTTAATACTACATGCAACTTGTGTATATAGTGTTGGGTATTTCCCTTGTCATATGCCTTGACCTAGGGCTTGACATGAGATCAAATAGACTGTTGTGTTATTAGTATCTTGACCCAAGGCACAACATTATAAAAAAGAGTGTAAGAGTTGTCAAAACCTAATCCATCTGACTCGATCCGAGAAATACTCAATTTAGATTTCGACTTGTATGAACACAATAATTTAACCTAAGTCAAGTTTGAAATTATACCCTACTCGTACTTGAGTACACCGAGCTCAACCCAAACACCCAAATTGACACCTCTAGTCACTGTAGCGTGAGTCAGTGAGTATAGAGTATACTTAGAGACAAGATCCAAACCAAGGACTAATCGTGTTGGTCTTCTATAAATAGGCTAATGCACAACCTGTTTCATGCGTTGGGTTGTATGGTGTAGTACATATAGGCTAGTAGTCTAGCATTCATCATAGTTGTACATTTGTGCACTACTGGTGTCAATATTTAGTGTCAACATTTGAAAATAATGTTCATGCATGACCCATGACCCTCGCCATGAGCATAAATAGCATAAATTAGCTTGCGTGCCAGACATTTAGCAATAGAAATTGGATCGCCTCTTCAACTAATCATTATATACGTAGTACTATAAGTTTTCATAAAAAAATATACGTAGTATAAAATTTTTTTAAAAAAAAATCCAAACTCCAGAAAATGAACCAGCCCAAAAAAAGAAATTGGGCCAAAATAACCGACTTAAAAAACGGGTTTCACCAAAGTCCAGTAAAAAGCCCATCATCTTTCTCTCTCTTCCACCTCTCCCTTCTCTTTCTAACTTCTGAATTCTAAAACCCTAAAAAATCTCGCTCCCGCCTAGTACAGAATTCTCGATTTTTTTTCTCCTATTTTTAAAAATGTCACCAAATTATTTTTTTTATACAAATTCGTAATTAATTGATTGAATTTCATTCAAAAATAATCAAATTTCTCCATTGATGAAAAGGTTTGATCATTCAATTTTATTTTTTATTCTTATTTAATTTCAATTAGGGTTCTTAAATTATTCATTCTGTTTATAATTTTTCGGATTTTTTGTAAAAATTTGCAGTTTATGGTGTCGAATCTTCTCCAGTGAAGACAATGGAGTCGGTAAATCCTTGTTGTTCGAAGGTATTTTCTCATGATTTCTTGAACTTTTTTAAATTGAACTTAAATCGTCGAAAATTTATAAATTTTAGTTGAGATTTACGAATTTTTTTTGTTTAATTGAGCAGTGGGTAAAAGCATATAAGAAATTGGAAGGTAAGCGGAATGCTCTTCGAAATGGTGTTGAAATTCTCCAGAAACAAATTGATCTTCTTCAACAGGATAATGCCAGCCTTAAGAAAGGTAACTTTTCATTTTATTTGATTTGCTGTTGTTGCGCAATGTTTACGGTTTCGTACGAGTATACTATCATTGCTTTGGCTAAGTGATTGTTTGATTGACGAGGGGAGAACAGAAAGGAATTACAGAGACCTTGAAAATGGAAAATTCTATTGTAGTTTGGTTGAAAAAAATCGAAAGCTTGAATAATATTAGTGATACAAATTTAGCCATTTTCGTCGTTGCACATTAGGAAGAAAAGAGTAACTTTGAATCTGAATAATGATGTTCTTTCATTTATAATTTCGATGTCGGGGCCTTTCAAGGTTGTATATGTTGATGTGGAGTGTTTGAA